GCATTGACCCATGTCACTTTAGTTTTCTGTATTTCAATGTACATAAATTATATTTCAATGAAAAGCATTTTTTAAAAATTCATAGAAAAGCAAGCATTGTTGACACCTCAAAGAGATGATTTAATGAGGTTCTAATTTTTCACGGGTAAAAAGTTCAACTTGACACTGGAATTTCTAGCAAACGTAGAGCTAAGCTTTGGGGGAATTGAGGAAATGAGTAAAGGAGGAAGGGGAAGGAGAGATAGGGAGGGAGGGAGGGGAGAGGGAGGGGACAGGTGAATAGAAGGGAGGGAGGGAGGGAAGAGGGAGTTCTTTAGGTTAAAAAAGAAATACGTTGTGACCTATAGACTCTAGGGGCAAATTTTCTGAGAATTTGTGGTATTTGCACAATCTTAACAATTTCCAATTAGAGGACTGCTAACATTTTGAATGGTAAAACTCAAAATTCTCTTCTGGCATCTAAATAAATCGCAATGAGTGAAAATTAATCCACTTCTTACATTTTACTTAAAGTACAGCAAATTTTAAACATAATTTGGGAAAAACGGGATGGAAGCTCAGAACAAAATGCACTGCTAAAGCATCATCTCTTCAAAGGAAAATAACTGCGTGGAAAAAACATAAAACATCTTTCACGACAAAGGGTGCGAAGACATAACGGAGACGGTTAATGCCACAACACACGACCCATAAAACCATAAGCAGAAAATCACAGAAGAGTTTGCAGCCCCGTGTTGCCCTACCTTCCACCATGAGCATGGGCTCCTTGCCGCCTCCGTGGGCCAGCATCTCCCGGCGGTAACGCTCACCCATGGCCCTGGAGGAACAGGGAGATACATTAGACACCCGCACACACAGCCCACTCCGCTGCCACTCACCCTCACGCTGAGTCTCTCGAGGTAAGCCACGCTGACAACACATCCACAAAGGCTGCCATCACAAGACAGACCTGCCCCTCACTAGCTTCTTGCTCCTAAATACCGGATTCCAACTTTTATCCTCAAGTAAGTGAGAGCAGGTGTGCTATAGTTACTGTAAGATAACTATTGTTGGCGCTCTGGTTTGTAGCATGCCACCTCTCTCTGTGGCAAGGGTTATTTTGTTCACAGGTATTTTATAGGTTTTTAAGGCTATGATTTGAAATGACTTATGCACTTTCAGACAAGAACATGAGATATCACTTAACAAAGAGAAAAATGCCTCCAAAGAAGTTTGAAGGAAACAGCTGGCAGGAAAGGGTTTATGACACCAGAAAACTCTGGCTAAGGAGATGGCTAACTAACGGGATGAAAACATGCCTCCTGAGTTTCCTGGTGGCCAAGGTGAAGAGGACAACCTCATTTCTATTTTCCAGTCCTCTCCTCAGCGGGGTCATTACAAATGTGACACTGAACTCATCTTATAGGTGAGTACCATCTATAAAACTATCCAAGGGTAGGTTGTGAACAATTTTTACAGATAGAAATTCTCCAAATGGCACCTGGCAACAAGCTACTATTTCAGACTTTACGGAAAAGGCAATTGCTATAAGTAAAGGACAACATACTCTGATAACGTGAGCAAAGGTGACTGTGATGAGTTTTCATTCCACTGTGACTTGAGTCACAGAAGCAAGACTGGAAAATCTACTTCTGTAAAGACTTATCACCTCAGAAACCCAATGGGGCTCACTGTAAATTGGAATCGGTTCAATGGCAGTGAGCTTTTCTTACATCCTGAATTCTGGGAGCATGGTCTCTCAGTGGAATCTCTGATACCATCACAGTATCACAGACGTGATGAATGCACGCGCTAGCTGTGGTCCTGTCTAAAAGTGTGTGCTCAGGAGAGCAAATCAAGGAGCAGGGGACATGGACAGAAGCTCAGAAGGACAGCAGGCTCAGTCTCCCCTCCCTGCCAGAATACACAGCACCCAAAAAACAAACCAAACCCACTGCCACTGAGTTGACTCCAACTCACAGCGACCCCTCCTTAGGTTTCCGAGGTGGTAAATCTTTAGAGAAGTAGATTGCTCAGTCTTCTGCATGGAGTGGCTGGTGGGTTTGGCAGCCTTCTGGTTAGCAGTCAGATGCCTTAGGCACTATGCCACCAGAGCTCCTAAGTAGCACACAACCAAACCAAAAAACCAAATTCACTGCCATTGAGTCGGATCCAACTCATAGTGACCCTCCTTGGTTTTCCAAGGTGGTATCACTACAGAAGTAGATTGTCCAGTCTTCCTTCCGAGGAGTGGCTGGTAGGTTTGAGCCACCAGTCTTCTGGTTAGCAGTCAAATGCCTCAGGCACTACACCACCAGAGCTCCAAGTTTTAATGCTTCCTCTTAGGTCCCTGGCTCTTGGCCTGCCTGGCTCCTGGCTGTAGGCTCCCAGCCTGGGTCTTTTCCAGAAATGGGATTGAAAAGGCTCTTTTTGACAGAGCTTAGACATTTTCTAGTCCAGTGAGCATTTTTACTCATTTACTTTATTATTACGTGTGCATAAAAGTAAGGCAACCACATGCCCAGGCAAGAATGCATACTTGAACAAGACATACATGGCTGACAATATATGCACTTAATAGTGTGGTTTGCTAGTAAAGCGTAGCTTCTTCAAACGGGATAATATTCTGCCTAGTTTATAGGAATCACCAGTCAAGAGTTGTAATCCTTGAAATTAATGTATGGTAGTCAATTTTGGTTTTGGATTCTCTGAAAACAATAAAAGTGGAAAAGCAGACTACATGTCTCCCAGTCTGCAAAGAGGAGAAGATAAAATGACATGTGGGCACCAAACCATAAAACATTCAAAAATCACATTAAATCAGGTTCAAGTGCAATATATTTTTGGAACTGAATGTGGTTATTAACTTCTGAGAAACTTCAAACTTATGTGGAAGTGTGTGAGACGCTGAGGGGTGTGGCGGGGCAGCGGGCAGGGAGGCGGGAGGAGGCTGCCTGCACTGGGCCTGGCAGCCCTGTGTCTAGTCCTGGCCCAGCTGGTTAGCTGTGAAGCCCTGGACATACTAGTCATCCCATCTGAGCCTGTTTCTTCTTATAAAGCAGAGCCGCTTTGCCAAGGCCGCTGTGGATGTAAGATAACACACCATGTGAAAACTCTGGGGTACTCTGAGTTGCGAGAGGACGGGGGCTCTAACCCATGCTAAAGCCACAGGGTGGCCCTGAGAGGTAGTTGGAGATGTTTGTTTTTGTGTGGTGAGGAGGTAAGACACTTCCAACAACTATTAGACCAAACCATAATTAGTGGTTTACTTTCAAAGAAAGTTCCTGCTAAGGATACATGAGGGCACAACTGTATGTCCCTTTGGGTCCTGTTCTTGGAGGAAGTCTTGCAAGTAGGGTCAGCAGACAGCCTGATCGGCAACAATGGAGGATCTTTGTAATTCTTCACCCAAGGATGGCCTGGCTACTACCTGGCTCCTCACTGTACCTGGCTTTACAGAGATACTAGGAGGGTGGGCAGCCTCCGTCCAAGGCCCAAGGCCCTTCCTCCTCCGCCCTGTCCTGCCTCCACCCTGGGGAGGGGGTGAGCACTCTGTGTCCCCATCTGAGATTTGCCTTTGCCGGACAGCACCACTGCAGGATCCTCACGAAGGCCCTGTGTACCTGCTAACCGAATGAAAGAAACACGTTCCTGGGAGAGGACCAAGAAGCCCTAGCCCAAACACTGCAGCGCACCCGCCGGCAGAAAAAGCTGCCCTTTGCTGTGGAAATCACCTGGTGATAGAAAGGTCCAGCAAGGCTCTCAGAGAGGCTGCCTGCATGGCAAAACAACTGAACAGCGTCATGCAGGTGGAGATGTGCAGGCGGAGATGTGCGCGGCCACAAGGCTGAGCCGCGTGAGCAACAGGAAGTAGTGCAGCTCTGTCACTGCTAATGGTCAGAGAGTCTGTGAGGAGCAAACACACTCCAGACACCAGGCAGAGGACTGACTTTCCAAAAAGAAACGGGAAGGCTGGTCTCCACATGCATGTCAGTAAACAAAGGTCCCAACAGTGCCGCTCCTAAACTAGGACAGTGGGGTGAAGACGATGAACTGAAGTGCTTCACCGAAGTGAAACTTCAGACGACGGTGCGTGAACTAAAAACCCAACCCAACTCGCAACCATGGAGTCGATTCTGACTCACAGCGCCCCTAGAGGACAGAGTGGAACTGCACCACAGGGTTTCCAAGGCTGTCTATCTTTATGGGAGCAAAGTCCAAACCAAATCCACTGCCCTAGAGTCGATTCAGACTCACAGCACCCCTAGAGGAAAGAGTAGAGCTGCCCCAGAAGGTTTCCGAGGCTGTAATATTTATGGAGGCTGACTGCCTCATCTTTCTCTGACATCTTTCTCCCACAGAGATGCTAGTGGGTTTAAACCACCCACCTTCTGGTTAAAGCAGCCAAATGCTTTAACCACTGTACCAGCAGATCTCCTACCTAAAATGAAGAGACCTATTACATGTAACAGGAAACACGGATTGCCATCAGGCACTGACAACGGGAGAGGCCAGGCAAACTCAAAGAGGACGGAGAGGCATAGCAACACCACTGACGGGACCGTGTGATGTCAACGCTAAAGGTTCCAGGGATCAGCAGGGAGCAGGAGCAGGCAGGCCTGTGGTGAGGCCCAAAGCCCGCTGTCCCCACTGTTCCAGAAGCAGGAGGGAAGCTCACCCCGAAAAGTTATGAGAGCAATAGCTCTGCTTTGGGTGGATACAGCCTCTAGGCTTTGGATTTCCTGCCATGTCGAGGGGACACTCTCATAAGTCTGACCTCTGATGTCATGCGGTGGGAGGTGACTGTAATTGAAAAAAGGGGCCATCTTATAAACTTTTCCCCCTTAATTACCTGTTGAAAGGATCCTGTAGAAAACATTCTTTCCAAACCATGGAAGCCACTGCCCTGGACATCAAGTAAGAGTAGTATTTGGCACCATAGCCCACCAGGTGGCTGAATCGCAGCTGCCACGCCTGCCAAAACAAAAACACAGCACAGGGAATAGTGGACGCTCTGTGTTCTGAGAATGCAGGCATGAGAACACAGTGGAAGCGCACAGCGTCTGCAAATGTTACCGTTTAAACCTCAACTGGGCAGGTCAAGCAGCTACTGTAATATGTTTAACATGTTGTATCCCAAACCAAAACCCACTGCCATCAAGTCAATTCCAACACATAGCAACCCCCAATGGGTTTCCAAGGCTGTCAATCTTTACAGAAGTAGATTGCCACATCTTCCTCCCATGGAGCAGCTGGTGGGTTTGAACCACCGACCTTCTGGTTAGCAGCCAAATACCTTATCTACTATGCCACCAGAGCTCCTTAATGTATTATAGACTCAAAGAAAATTTTGTATCATGTAATCTTCAGCCAATTATAGACACATTTGCTCCAAACAGATGGTGGTGGTTGTTGTTGTTTGCCATTGAGTCAGATTCAACTCATAGCGACCCCTCCCCTTGGGTTTCCGAGGCAGTATCACTACGGAAGCAGATTGCCCAACCTTCCTTCTGAGGAGTGGCTGGTGGGTTTGAACCGCCAGCCTTCTGGTTAGCAGTCAAGTGCCTTAGGCACTATGCCACCAGAGCTCCCAAACAGATGATTAGTCTTTTTCATTAATGAGTTTAATTTCCTGTGCTGCTTATAAAAACCAGACACTACTGCTGTCTAGTTGATTCCACCTCATGGTGACCTTGTGTGTGCCAGGGCAGAACTGTGCTCCACAGGGTTTTCAGAGGCAGAGTTTTCAGAAGCAGACTGCCAGGGCTTCCTTCCAAGGTGCCTCTGGGTGGACGTGAACCTCCAAGCGTCCATTTAGTGTTGGAGCATGTTAACTGCTCGTACCACCCAGAGACGCCTCTGTTGATGAGATTTGGCTGCTAACCAGAATGTCACCAGATGAAACCCACCAGTCACTCTACAGAAGGAAGATGGGGCAATCTACTTCCATAAAAATGTACAGCCTTGGAAACACAATGGAGGCTGTTATGAGTCGGAATCGACTTAATGGCAGTAAGATCTAGAAAAGAGATTAAGTTTTGAGGTTACGTATTTTTTGATAATTTGGTGATTTAAAAAAGTTCACTCTGCAAGAGTACTGGCTACTTGAATCATTATCACTTTTCATATGGGCCCATGTTTCTAAAGCTGATTAGCACCCACGTTTTTGTCATAATACATTTTACGACAAAGCAAAAAAGCAGAAGAAAATGAAATAGAGCAGAAAAACAGAACTTGGTAAAATCTGGGGCCGCATTTCTATTTTTAGAAGTTAGTTATCAGCAATTTCAACCTCTCAGTGGAAGGATGAAGGAATTAACAGCCTCCCTGCCGTCTCTAAACTCCTTCAGTGACTTTCTAGTCATACTAATGAAGCTGGTTACACCTTACTGTCTGTACAAGTCTATGGCCGTACAGATCAGAGGTGACGGTGCAGACACCAACAATGGAGCAGGATGGTCTCTCCTGGCCATGCCGGCCAGCACGGAATGCCAGCTGTCAGCATTGAAATAGGACGTTTGAAGTCTGACAATGAGTGTACCTTCTCCACAAGCACAGTGATGTAGCTGTTTCAAGAAAGACCATGTGGGTGTGTCATGTAAGAATACTATTCCACTGGAAATTTTTTTCCCTACAAGTATTTTTCTTTCTCTGTACCTAGGAGTTGAAAACACCTACATTCTGATTGGCGAATAGAAGGAGGGTTTGTCCAAGTATAAAAGCACACGCTTATTCATTGTCACATTGCCGCAACAAAAAGCTAGGATTATAAAAACTATCCTCAAAAGATACATTTATGACTTCAATGGTTTTACTTTTCTAGAATAAACAAATCTGGCATGCAGTGATTCACTTTCTTCTCTTGGATGCTTCATCTGACATTAAACTTAATTCCCTAGAAAATCAACTATAAAGCATAATCCTCACTACAAATCCATAAACAAGATAAACTAGTTCTACTCAACATATTAAGACACAAATATCTAAGAAGATACAGCTCCTTTATCACAACGGTGTGACAAATTTGAGAACAAACTCCCAGTCCTCTATCCTTACGCAATGACTCTAAAGATGACACCTATAGGGCTACTTGCTCTGTAGTTGCCCAACTCTTCAAGACTAATAATTTGCCTGCATTGGGGAAAAACCCACTGCCACTGATTCGATTTGACTCATAGTGACCCCCACTGGGTTTCCAAGGCTATAAATCTTTATAGAAGTAGGCTGCTTCATTTTCCTCCCATGGAGCAGCTGGTGGGTTTGAACCATCAACCTTCTGGTTAGTAGCCAAATGCCTTACCCACTACTCACTGGGGAAAGGAGCTGTGATGAAGGAATGTGTGGGGATATTAAGGCAGAGATTAAGCATTACCCTTAATCTCCACTCTCCCCTTTCTTCAAAAAGGATCTCACATTGGGCACCTTCTGGGTCATGTCCTTGTAGGAAAGACTGTGCCCCTCTCCCTTCCTCCTGTATTTTTCATTCTCAGGGCTGGCATATGGATATGGTGGTGAGCCGATTCAGTCCATTTATGAAGGCAGGCTCTCAGGGATGGTGGGGCAGCAAGAAAGAAAGAGGGCATGAGGCCACCACACCTGGTCTGGACAGTTACATACACACAGTTGTTATCAACAACCAAACCTATACCCTACCTAACAGCAGATGATCCCCACTCTACGTACAGCACTGTCACCATGCAGGACCACAAAACCCTGACATACAGCTCCTGGGGGCCTCATCCTTGCTGGGAGAAGCAGCACACTTAGATAGATGTACACCTAATGAGTTCTTGCCAACCAGTGTCCTCAGGTGGTGATGGAGGGCATGGGAAGGTGAAGATAGGCTTTTACCCTACTGGTACCTAAGTGATTTTTAAAATGACAGCAAACTGAACAATGTATGGGTCAAATTCCATTATAAAAAACGCTGAGTAACTAAATTTTTAGCCAAAAACGTAGATCCCTTGGAATTCATTCATAGCATACACAAAGTTCTTATACTCTGCCTTATTAAAACCAGGGAATCTATGTCAGTTTTTGTATTATGCTGGAATTTTAATCTAGTAAATATTACTTAGAACACATAGGCCATTGGTAATCTTTCTCACAGAAGGAATTTGGATGCAATGCTATCTTTTGTGATGGAATATCATGGGCTGTTTTAATCAGATACTCCACTGAGATACTGGCCATTATGCTGACAATGATATCATCGTCTCTCAAGGTGGAAGGAGCTCTGGTGATGCAGTGGTTAAAGCATTTGACTGCTAACCAAAAGGGCAGCAGTTTGAACCTATCAGCTGCTCCTTGGGAGAAAGATGAGGCAGTCTGCTTCTATAAAGATTGACAGCCTGGGAAACCCTGTGGGGCAGTTCCACTCTGTCCTCTAGGGGCGCTGTGAGTCAGAATCGACTCCATGGCAGTGGGTTTGGTTTGGGCTTTGCTTCTGTGAAGACTGACAGCCTGGGAAACCCTGTGGGGCAGTTCCACTCTGTCCTCTAGGGGCACTGTG